TGTGTGTGTGTAAGTAATAAACAATATTTGTGTTGTGCAATAACTGAAAATGTGCATACGGATATTAAATTGTATGTGAATTATATGATATGTGTATTTATTTATTGGTTTGTTTACATTGATTACTATGGAGAAGCTTTGATAACGATAAGTGTTCTGTTGTATGATCTCATCTGATAAATGAAACCATCTTTCACTGCATTTGTCTCGCAAATAATCCTCATTCATCAGCAATTTTGATAGTCACTCACCTGCGCTACACTACTAACAAAGCTAATTCCGAATTTAAAGAGTACCTCTGAATATAAGCATGAAATTGATTTGCGTGGATGGAGCTAAAATTTAAGCAAACAGCAGAAGGTCGGCCCAAAGGCACTCATCTATCTAGTTTCAGCAGTTTTCAGTTTTAGCTATCGATAATTATCTCGAAGATAGCTGATTTCAAAGAGCGACTTTTTTTCACATTGTTGGGATGATCAACAGAGTCAGTCGTGAAATGAACATTAAAGACATTCAAACATAAACATGTAAACATTCAAACGCAAACATTCACCAAATCCAATTTCAACTCATCATGAGATTCGTTTTCGCAAGAATTTCTCAGAAAATTCGAAAATCAAGCCAACAAAAGTGTATTCCATTTTGACAGCGATTCATGATGAACGCATATCCATTTAGCAGGGATTTTTGCAGAATCTTTCTTCGTAAGGTGTATCAAAATGATGAGTTTCGGCTTTTTCATATCGACTTTTTATCATCCCAAAATAATAATCATACTGAAACGAGTATTAGGTTTTGTCGGGTTATTGATGGTGAATATGGCATTTGTCATTAGCATTTGTTGCTGATATCGGTTCTTGATTCATGGAAATTCATAATCAAGCTTTACCAATCGAACACGAGATTTGTGAATACGAAATGAAGATGTTTAATTGATTTGACAGTCCAGTTAGATCAAAGAAAATGACAGTTCAATTAGAAGTATTCGAGATCACTCTTGAATACTTCTAACTGGACTGTCATTTTCTTTGATTTTGATTTTTGCACACTTCACGTGGAATTATCAAATAAAGCATTCTCAAAGTGTTATTGAGTGAATTTTTTTGGTGAAATGCATTGTTATCCTTATACAGTAATGTATAATGCGCAATTATTTGTATATATCTGAGAAACAGTTGCACAATATTCTCTCAAGTTTTATGTGGTGCAGATTCGTTTGGAGACTATTTTATAATCCCATTACTTTGAAGTTATCCTATTCAATTTCATTTGCAGAATGTTTTCATCAAAAGCCAGGTGGTATATCGCTTAGAGTCACTAACGAGTTATCATAACAACCGACAGACACACTGAATGAAATGCAAAGAGAACCAGTGATGAGTCCGCGACCAGACGATTCATTTGTTAACGATAAACACCTGACAACGCTTAGAGAGTGTATTTTTGCGTGTTTCACACTTGTGAGAGCCCAGAGGGGAGAGGAATTCGAAAAATGGTAAATCTTTGAAACGAAAAAAATTTCCCAAAAAAAGTCCACTTCTCTGAAACTGACTGAGTGCGTTCGATCAAATTCCATTGCTTGGAATGAAAGGAGCAAAAAAAAACCAAAAAAAGAGCGAAAAACTGAATGAGAGAATATTGTCAAACATCAAACTCATTTACAGGTTCTTTAAAAGTTCCCGTATGTATCTTCTGAAAAAGTTTTTAGTTTAGCAAAAAAAATTTTTGTTTTTAAGCTCACCACTTTATAAATAAAGGATTTCATTCAGGTAAACCAGGCGATCATTTTTTACGCGATGAATTGATGCCGTTCACTAAACCTGATTTTTCAAAGGAATTTGAGAGTCATAGACTTTGCTCACAAATGTTTCGAATCAGATTTGAATACACGAATAATAACTAGTATAATACAATATAAAATAACCGAGTGATTTCTTATGTGCAATCTGTGTTCAATGAATGATTTTTAAATGAAACTCAACGAAACAACTTTTGAAAATTGGATAATAAAAGAATATCATTGAAAACTGTGAACTTGATGTTGTCGTTCAAAATCATACTTCCATAAAGCTTCATAGAAATATTCATTGGAAATGCCAATGGTTTGTGAGTCTAATCAGTACAGATATTAAGGATCACAATGGAAATATGATAATATTGATATCAGCAGTAATGATAGTGCATGTTTTTAAAGGATGAAGAAACTGTTGGTGATTGCGAATGAGAGTGATTTGTGAATATAAGATGAGTAAAGCAGTAAGATATATAGTCTCGAATGATGCGTTCTCTGTTGATGATAGACATAAAACAAGTTAAACGCGAAACTGAAAGCTCGAACAAATAAAACTTCTCTGCTGTTGAATGGATGATGAACAGCTGCGTCGACTTATATCGTCTCTTTCAATCCTCTCGAATCATGGATCTTTTCCATGTAAGTTTTTTAATGTTCTTATGAGGAGCGGAGGGAGGGGGAACGTACGAATGGGGTTGCAGTTAATTTCTTAAAGATGACCCCCCCCCCACTTCGTTGGTGAATTATCGCAATGAAATTTTCAAATGTACTGATGATAATAACGATAATCCTAATTATAATAACAATGATGTTAATGATAACAAGTATAACAGATATTATCAGTCACATACGAATGGCTGTGTTCACTTTATCAATTTAAATGAAATTTTGATGTTAATCGCCTTATTTCAAACAACTTATGAGGTGTGGATTTCTCCAAACAAAACAACAAATTTTTGAAATTGCGAAGTGATATCATTGATTAAATCGAACGTATCTGATAAAAATGAATGTATTTGATCTGAATGTATCTGATGAAAACGAATCGAAAATAATCTGATAAAAGGAAAACGAAAAACTCAATTTCAGTGCACACGTTCAGTGTATTAGCAAGTGCGGCACCGCCAGATAAACTCGCTGAGCAATTGCATCAACGATGGTTATCTGAGGAGTCATTCGCAACAATCGCCGCCGTTGCTGTACTGCATGTTCATCATGTCAGTTCCTTACTTACCCTCCAAACCCATAGACGAACGTCTCCCACTCCTTACATAATTTATAAGTTATCCGTCGCCGAATCCACAACAATTAATTGGTGAATGTGGAAGAAAGAGCGTCGTTGCAAACTGAACACTTCATGATGGAATTAATAAACCACTTACTCATTGTCATTTAATGTTTTGAGTTGGTTGGAACGCTCATTTGGATAGCGTATAGTTTTCATCATTATTAGCTAACTAATGCAGATGCAAACGGGATTCGAATCTCACTATCTAATGACTGTAATGTTGTTAGCACTGTCTCAAATCGGAGTACTGTATTGTAATTTTCATTGTTACCGTTATTATTATTATTATTATTATTATTATCATTATTATTACTATTACTAGTATTATTACTACTATTATTATCAATAATAGCAGTAAAACTGAATCTAGGATAATAACTGATAATTGGGCTAATAGTGCCTGATAGTTGCTGTTATTTATCACTCAACTATTAGCATCGCATCTGATATGCGCTTATCACTGTCAACCAAACTGTTGTTACTAATCTATCATATCAAATTACTTACATGATTACAACAAAAGTCCCATCATTACAACACAATGTCTTCAATCGTGCTGATTCCAATGCTCTAAACTGAATATAACACTCCAATGAATACTATTCACTTCGAATCGCAAACTTAATGATCTTGTAAATGTTGAATAAAAAGCGCAACTGATTTAATACAATCTTCAGCTCGGAGAAATCAGTGATTCAGCGCTATGGTCATGTTGTTTGGCACATTTACTTTCCGATTACCGTTCACGATACAATTTACGCAAAAAGAATCCACTTCTGTTCAGGTGAGCAAAATTCATCAGATCAGATATTTGGTCTTTCGTCTCGGCGGATCATTCGGAGATCACCGCTATCATGTTCAGTCGAATACATTACAAATTTGCATTGCAATAACCATTCAATGAATAAAAACACAATTCAAGAAACAACGTACGAACACTTCTCAAAATGTATCCGGTATTTCGTGAGATTGATGCGGTGGTAAGTGAGAGTTTGATAAAGCCAATATTTATGTCACTTAATATGTTGATGGACGAAGAGGCGGACGATAAAGACGTTCAGGTTTATCCATTTCCTTTAGTAATTCTTGCTGATTGCGTGAATTTTATTCATATAAATGGTTCGTTCTTTCTGCAGGCAGTTATAATAATCAGTGCCGATGTCAGAATTATTAATAATAAAATCAACAATGGTGATAGTAACCAAAATCATGGTAGCAGTGATAATAACAATAATAAAATTGATTATGATATAATTGTATCAAATATGGATGATAAAGAGATTACAGGCAATGGTATCGTTAGTCTTAGAAGATGGCTCATTATTACATAAACTAAGGCCAAACGAATGCGATAAACTCGTTTTGATGGCACGTCATTGCCTTTGTGAGAAAACACTCAATGCGGAGAGTCGAAGAGGGCTTTTGAATGTTCGTTTTTGAATTTGGCTCTGAAACTTTGGTTGTTTTGTTTATGTGGAAGATGCATTTGCAAGAAACATTATTTTGATTTATTTATTCAGTTGATCACTTGAAAATTAATAGATCACTATAGCAGTCTGAATGCATCATTCATTGCCCTCTCTACGAGCTAATTGTATATTTACAGTATAACCCATGCAAAATATTCAAAATTCTTTAGAACTGTACATATGAAAAAATTTTTTAGTTGCATTCGAACTTCTTATAAGCTTTAACTTTTTCTACA